AGAAAATCTTTCATTGCCTATAACAAGGGTGTAGATTTAAAAATTATTTGCTTAGCCATTCACCTAGAGAAAATCATGTAAATTGCTTACGTGCAAATAGGGCAAAACAATTGAACACAATGTGCTGTTCCACTGTAAATCATTGATTTGAAATAGAAAATACTACATTTGGCCACCAGGTGGAGTTAAGTATTATAGGAAATTCATATGACACATAGCTCCAACTAATGGCTGAAAGTGGTACTTTCTGTTTAAGATTGATCATTTACAATAAAACAGCACAGAACAAATGTACATATGCTCTTACTGGGCAAATAGCTATGCACATTCTTTATTTAATAAGCCCCTCAGTATTTGTTAAGCCCCCCCCCCCAATTTTTTTGTTTTGTTTTAGATAAAATAGGGAATGTTTATGATCCCTGTGGAGTTGTGGCCTTTCAGGGAGAGCGCCATCTTTTTTGTTGCCCCAAAGGCACAGCAGGCATGAGGAGATCTCTCTAAAGCAAGGGGAATCCCCCTTTTAGACATCTGTCTCCACAACAATCTTCTCCTGTGTTTGTGACAGCTTCAAAATTTGGGATTTTCCCACAGCTCCACCTTCTGGCTGGAAATATAGATATGAAAATCGTATGCAACATTTCATACTTACCAAGCTAAATTAAATTAAAATATTACGTTTTAAAGAAAAACATTTTTGTTTTATTTCAGTCTGAGAACTAAAGCTCTCCGATATTATATTTTCCCTACTGTCTCACTGGAGGATATCGAACTGAGATAACGCCATTCAGGGGCGGACTGACCATTTGGAAACTCGGGCACTGCCCGAGGGCCCGGGGTCAGTAGGGGGCCCCATGAGATGCCCCCTGTACCTTTTTCATAGGCTTTTTTGAGTTTGGGCAAGGACCGAGGGGCCCCATGAGTTGTCAGTCCGCCCCAGTTAAGGCCTGTGTTGATGGTGTCTGGGCTTGTATTGATGGCATCAGTTTTAGGCATCATACACATGAATGCAAAATGTGAAAAATGCATTTTTACCAGTTAACCTTTTTTTTTTATGGATCAGAACACAGGTGTATTGTTTTCTATGGTCCTATGGAAAACAACAATTAAAAAAAAAAAAAAAATAAAAAAAAAAAAATATATATATATATTATTTTTTTTTTTATATAATAAGTATATATATATATATATGTATGAAAAATCTGTAAATCCTGCATATGGACCATATTTCACTCTGCACGCATGTAAATGTTTGTGTTAATGCTTACATATGTACGGCATAAAGCTGCAATGTACCCTATTGGAGTACAAGAACCACCTGTGTACAAGCAACAGAAGGATGCTAGATGTCAGATGGTATCTGTATCCTAGCAACAGCTTCCTTGAGACTCCACCTGCATCCTTGCAATGATTGATGCTAGGCAGTGGTAACTGCTTGCATCCTAGCAACAGAGGGCATAAGTTGGCAATAGCTACCTGCATCCTAGCAACAGGCCATTAACATTGTACAGTTCTGCACATATAAATATTGCTCAAATACTTTATGCATACAACGAACAGAGCCCTTTTTTGCAGGATCTTGCTGCCAGCGTCCATCAGCAAGTCTGACTACTAGCTGCACATTTTTATACAATTGCATTTATATAATAATGCATGTACTCTAAGACACGGGGTTATTTACTAAAACTGGAGAGTGCAAAATCTGGTGCAACTCTGTATAGAAACCAATCAGTTTCCAGATTTTATTGCCAAAGCTTAACTGAATAAGCTGAAGTTAGAAACTGATTGGCTACCATGCACAGCTGAACCAGATTTTGAGTGCTCCAGTTTTAGTAAATCCCCCCCTTTAAGTCAGCAATTATATTGAAAATATTGGCATAAGAGACACCAAGCAGCCAGACTTTTCATGAGGACAGCAATGACAGCCATCATGCCAGGAAAGTGTGCTTATCCTTTAAAACAGAACTGCAATTTTGCAAGTATAAATTAACAAATTTTATATATATATATATATATATATATATATATATATATATATACACAGGGATTTTTTTTTCTCAGAGACTAGGTGCAGGAACTCTCCTATACGAATCACCCCTTATCTCTGTCCCCTAGCCACCTCTGAGCACTGTCCCATTGTTCAACCCCCTGTCCACCTATCAGTAAGGCCTCTTTTAAAGAATACAGATCCAAGCATCATTTTTTGGTACTAGGTAATTTGTATGGAATTTTTTTAATAAGTTGTAAAATTTATTAACTGCAGTCAGCAACAATACACCCCACTTTCAACAATAGATCCCACCCAACATCAATGAAACACTCCCATCCGCAATAATAGACCTTCCCTTAACAGTAGATCCCTCTCAGCACCAATTGACCTCCCAGCAACAGCAGATCCTCCAGCAGCCAGCATCAGTAGACCCTCCAGCACATCCCAGCACCACTTGTCATTACATACATTCAGTGCTGGAGGTTCTGGAACTGCATTCCTCTGCATTCCCACTGAAAAAAAGCCTTGTATATGTATGTATGTATGTATATGTGTATATATATATAGTCGATCCTAAACTCAGTGGCTAGACTCATCCACCTCACCAACCGCTCCACATCGGCCTCCCCCCTCTGCCAATCCCTTCACTGACTCCCGATTGCCCAACGCATCAAATTCAAACTGCTAACCCTGACCTACAAAAGCCATTCACAACGCCGCCCCAAACTACCTAACTGACCTGATACCCAAATACTACCCTACCCGTGCCCTCTACTCCTCACATGACCTCCTACTCTCTAGCTCCCTGGTCTCCTCCTCCCACGCCCGATTGCAGGACTTCTCTAGTACTTCCCCCATCCTCTGGAACTCCCTACCCCAATCCATCAGACTGTCACCCACCCTTCCTCACCTTCAGGCGCACCCTGAAAACCCCCTCAGGGAAGCCTACCCCAACCTCACCTAACACCTGACCTCCCCTAACAACTAACCTCCTCCACTCCACCCACCACTCCATCCCCCACAGCCATCTCCTCCTGTACCACCGTCCCCTCCCTCCTAGATTGTAAGCTCGAAAGAGCAGGGCCCTCGAACCCCTCGTGTATTGTTTTGTTACTGTCTTGTCTCATGTTCTGTCCCCCTTGCTACTGTACAGTGCTGAGCATACTCTTTGGCGCTATATAAATACTGTATAATATTAATATATATATATATATTTTTTTTTATTATTTATTTTTTCCTACATAGTCCTCCTTGTAATTGAGTGCAATTAAAGGTTAGTACTCTCCATGGATGAAAGAGTTTCTAAACCTTGTACAAAGGGATGCTGGGACTGCTGATTTTTTTTCTACAGCGCAAAGACTACTCAGGTGGTGATAATGAAAGCAGTTCCTCCCAGTTAGCAGTCTGTCTGTTAATGGATATGTTAAGACTTACATCAGATAAATAAGTAAGAGACCATAAGAATTTGCAGTAGTTCAGATGGAAGGATTTTTCTCAGCGATTACTTTATTATAAATGTTCATCTCTGAGCAAGAAAAATCTGGACTGTGAGTCGGAGAAATCTGACGGCCAGTGAAATCCTTTGTGCAAAGGGCAGCTGGCTGAGTGTCAAAAACACGCTTTTCCCAGGTAAGAGTTTTAAAAAGAAAATGTGAAATCTGTGAAATCATTATCTCTGGAAGGAATGCATTATCTAAAAGTGGTGCTTTGGGACCTTTTGGAAGAGGCAGCCTATAAAACCACAATTATGTGAGGGGTATCCATGTACAATATTTAAAGGGGACCTGCCGCGCTTGTAATATTCCATCCCTTAGAGACTACCTAGTGTACTGTGGAATGAGTTAAATTAAGTAACCCACACATTGGGCTAATCAAATTTTATGTAAGCACCGTGTACGATAAGCAATTACCCCCTTTTTAAATAAAATACTCTTTTTATTTATTTTTTTTAACACAGTGCTAATGGTCTCATGCAGCCACTTCTTGTCTACATGCATGCAGTTTTTCGGGATGGGTTTCCTGACAACAGTAAGCCTGGGTTCACACTGATGTGGTCCGGAATTTGCAGCATTTTCTGTACGAATTCCGCACTGCATCACAATCGTACCCCGTTCATGCGAACCACTGCAGTTGTGTATGTTAAGTTAACAACATTGGTTTGCAAAACGTGGTGCGATGTGCAAAATCAGATCGCATGGGTGTGAATACCCATGCGATCCGATTCTAGTGCGGACACAAAAAAGGGTCCTGCACCTTGTTGGTGTGGATGCGGTGTGATTTGAGCCATACAAAATGTATGGCTCAAATCGCACCGCACAGAATTCGTATGTGACTTGCACAGGAATGCGGTGTGGTTCCTGTGTGAATCACATGCGATATGCCACGGTGTAGCAGTGTGAAACCAGGCTAAAACACAACTATGTATTGGATCAACCGCCTTTGGCCTGGGTTCACACTTCTGCGGTGCAGCATATCGCATGTGATTCGCACAGGAACCGCACTGCATTCCTGTGCAAATCACATGCGAATTCTGTGCGGTGCGATTTGAGCCATACATTTTGTATGGTTCAAATCGCACCACATTCGCACCAAAAAGGTGCAGGACCCTTTTTTTTGTCTGCACTAGAATTGGATCGCATGGGTATTTACACCTAAGTGATCCAATTCTGCACATCACACCGCGTTTTTGTGAACCGATTTCGGGGTGTTGTTAACATACACACCCACAGCGGTTCACATGAATGGGGTGTGATTCTGATGCGGTGTGGAATTTGCACAGAAACCGCTGCGAAATCCGCACCACATCAGTGTGAACCCAGACTTAGTCTCAACTGGGAAAGCATGTGACAGGGTGAGAAAGCAGACCTACTAGAGAACAGGCACACAGCAGGGTCCCCATATAACAGGAAATGCCTGAAAGAGAACCTTCCTAGCAGGTCTTTAGGTTTTATTTAAAACAAAGTTTCAGATTAAAACATTTTATAAATCACTTTTGAATCTAACATGTTAAAGCTTTTATGAGATTTTACTGACTGCCATTACATATAATTTTAGGCATGCTAAAGTGACTACTCAAGTAATATTATTAAGTAAGATAATTTGGGTCAGGGGCGGACTGACCATTTGGAAACTCAGGGTCAGTAGGTGGCCCCATGAGATGCCCATGGTACCTTTTTCATAGGCTTTTTTGAGTTTGGGCAAGGACACAGGGGCCCCATGATCCTCTATTGCCCAGGGGCCCCATGAGTTGTCAGTCCGCCCCTGATTTGGGTCATATATATTGTCCATCCCCCACAGTTACTACCTTTTGTACCACTAGCCCCTCCCTCCTTACCCTCTTGTATTGAACTGTATTGTTGCTATATTGTCTCCCATTATATTGTAGAGCGCTGAGCAAACTGTTGGCAATATATAAATCCTGTATAATAATAATAATAATAATAATATGAACTTCCCTTCCTTCCTTCTTTGGCAATTCATACTCTCTTTCTCTTGATGCTGCCACTACATGTTAAGCCAAGGGGCAGGGCTTAGTGGGAATAGGCAGGGCTTAGAATAAAAACATTGCCATACTTATGAAATATAAGGCCACATTTCATATGTGCTTGGGAGCAGGGGCGGACTGACAACTCATGGGGCCCCCAGGCAATAGGGGATCATGGGGCCCCTGTGTCCTTGCCCAAACTCAAAAAAGCCTATGAAAAAGGTACCAGTGGCATCTCATGGGGCACCCTACTGACCCCGGGCCCTCGGGCAGTGCCCGAGTTTCCAAATGGTTAGTCCACCCCTGCTTGGGAGTTTGTTTGCAGAAGGGAACTATAAGTCATACGGCACTTAGTTCATATATTTGTGAAAACCTACTTTAGCATACCTTAAAGTGTCACTAAACCCACATCATAAAAACTATCAATAAAGTCTGTATTACATGCTGTTCATGCTCGCTCAGTCTGTATTCTGCAAAAAACCTGGTTGATCTTGCTGCTCTCTATCTCCACCTTCTATTCATGTCACAAATTCAGCTGGGGATTTTACAGCTGTAGAGGCAACTCTGCACATGCTCAGTTTGCAGTGAGTTTCTATGCTGAGCATTTCCTCCCTATCACATCTGAGCAGCCCATGTGACTATAGAGTCTCACATTTGGCTGTATACACAGTGGTAAATGACAGCCCATTCCCTCTCTCCTCCATGCCCATTAACCAGCTAAACACAATGGGAGTGGAATATTACATGTGGACTAGGGGAGGATTCACCTCCTTCTTATTGTAAGACACAAGCTGGAGGGGTGTGACACAGCCTGTGACTGTCAGAAATGCCAATTCAAAAAAGTGTATTAATAGGATTTATTTATTTTTACTCTATATGCCAAAAGCAGTTTTTTTTTTTATTTTATTTTATATGTGTTACCAGCAGCAGAGGACTAGAAGCTCCTCCTGCCACTGTTTCCCTGCAGACAGGCTGGGAAAGATCTGGGACATGTGACAGCTGTATATCGATTAAGAAAAAGGTACTTAGATTTTTTTTTTCATTAGAATAATTACAGTGCTGTCATCCACATACAGAAATAGAAGAGATAATGTAAATTAAACAGTGTGTTTTTAGTATCACTAATATTGTATAACATATATATGAGCTCCATGTTCTGGGATGGAGAAGCTAAAAGCAATTATCATTGGTGATGAGCCTGGGTGTATTCATATCTTAGTCCAGTGATGGCGAACCTTTTAGAGACCGAGTGCCCAAACTGCAACCCAAAACCCACCTATTTATCACAAAGTGCCAACACCGCAATTGAACCTGAATACTGAGGTTATAGTTTAGAAAAAACAACCCCATACATCTCTTGTCTTAAAAGAAAAACACAATAACAGAGCTTCCACTGACCACCAGCACAAGGGGGCAAAGTTCCACTGGCCACCAGCACAAGGGGGTAAAGTTCCACTGACCACCAGCACAAGGGGGCAAAGTTCCACTGATCACCAGCACAAGGGGGTAAAGTTCCACTGACCACCTGCACAAGGGGGCAAAGTTCCACTGACCACCAGCACAAGGGGGCAAAATTCCACTGACCACCTGCACAAGGGGGCAAATTTCCACTGAGCACCAGCACAAGGCGGTAAAGTTCCACTGACCACCAGCACAAGGGGGCAAAGTTCCACTGAGCACCGGCACAAGAGGGCAAAGTTCCACTGACCACCTGCACAAGGGGGCAAAGTTCCACTGACCACCGGCACAAGGGGGCAAAGTTCCACTGAGCACCGGCACAAGGGGGCAAAGTTCCACTGACCACCAGCACAAGGGGCAAAGTTCCACTGACCACCAGCACAAGGGGGCAAAGTTCCACTGACCACCAGCACAAAGTTTACTATATCTAAGGTAAGGTCTTCATTGTGTTTTTTCTTTTAAAGGATTTTTCTTTTTCATCTAAAATGTTCCTCTGAACTTTGATCATTTCCCTAGCACAGCTCCTCCTTGCATGTCATAGTCCTCTTCTCTTCTGGGGTGGGGGGTTTAATTACTGTCTGTGCTGGCCCAGCTTCTGCACCCCTCCCCTTCCTGCATAAACATTTATGTAGCAGCCACAGAAGGTGTAAAGTCTTACTTGTGTGATAGTTCTGAGTCTTCTGGAGCTGCTGACATCACATATAAGATGGAGGCGATTATCAATCTCTGGGCATTTGGATGTCTACACAAGGGTGACTTTTACTGGATCTGCCTAAGCTACAGTAAATGCACATATAAGCCTATGGAATGACTGCTGTTAAATGAATGGTTTCTAACAATGAACATCTATTGCTTCCTCCATTTCGTTTTCTTAATGTAACATTAAAAGTGTTTTGTTAGATCTGTTTTATAAGTGGAAAACAATGCCTGTTCATTTTCTGGAAATCTTGTGGGCTAATAAATTCCTTGCTCTCTGCCTGGGCAGAAGAAGGGGTTATGTAGATGAGGATGGGGGAGAGGTTTGTGTCCTTTCTAATGCATCAGAAATGAAGTAGGCAGGGCTGACACCACGTGCTTTGGAATTCAAAGCCAAAAAACACCCTGTGTTGTAATGTCAAAAATGAAGGTAGGAGCACACTATAAAATAAAATATGAGAAATGTGTCTGATCCAGGGGCGGACTGACCATTTAGGCACACGGGCTCTGCTCGAGGGCCCGGGGTCAGTAGGGGGCCCCATGAGATGCCCCTGGTACCTTTTCATAGGCTTTTTTTGAGTGTGAGCGAGGACACAGGGGCCCTATGATTTCCTATTGCCCGGGGGCCCCATGAGTTGTCAGTCCGCCCCTGGTCTGATCCCTTCTGTATTAAATTGTATTGTAATTGTACTGTCTGCCCTTAAGTGCTATTTAAACTGTTGGCGCTATATAAATTCTGTACCATAATAATAATAATTTTTTTTTCAATTTTGCCTAGCGTGTGCTCTAAGTGCAAAGAAATTCTTTTCAAGGCTGGTAGTATATGATTTCTCATATCTATAAGTTCTGTAATGTAAACAACACAAGGTTCCTGAGATAGCCGTAGTTATGCAGTTATTTACAGCCAGTCATAAACCTTTCTTTCATTTGATTTTTACCTCTAGGATACCTTTTTACCTTAGGTTAACCTTTAACAGCAATTGTACTTCCATTGTCATAAAGGTGTAGCATGGGTTTTAGTAATGACTTGTACCTAATGTAATTGAGTCTAAAGAGTTTTATTAAAAAAGAAATGCCAATTACTTAAGATACACAGTGCTTTAGGAAAGATATTGCTTTCCTGCCTCAAAAAAAAAAAAAAAAATGATTTCCTTCTCAGGAAATTCTTTAATGTTCTGTCTCAGGAACCCCATTGCTCTCCTGCCTTGAGACACTCACTGACGATCTACCATAGGGTAACCCATTGTTGCTCTACCTCTGAAAACCCATTGCTGTCCTGCCCCAGGAAGCCCGCTGCTGCCATTTCATATGAAATTCGTGCTGTCCTGCCTCAAGAAACACACTGCTGTCCTGCCTAAAAAACATTGCTGTCCTATCTCTACATTTCTGTTATGCCTCAAGACACCCACTAATGTAGTACAACAGGGTAACCCATTGCTGATGTTCCTTTGGAAACCCATTGCTGTCCTGCTTCAGGATACCCGTTGTTCTTCTGTTGTCATTTCTTAGAAAATTCATCACTATCCTGCCACAAAAAAATGTATTGCAGTCCTACCCTATCATAACCCATTGCTGTCCGGTCTCAGGAAACCAGTTGCTGCCCTTTCAAGGAAAAACCACTACTGCCCTGCCTCAAGAACCACATTGTTATTCTGGTTTGAATACCCTTAGTTCTCCTGTCTCAAAAAGCCTATAGCTGTCCTTACTTAGGAAATCCATCACTGTCTTGCATCAAGAAACTTACTGCAGTCCTGCCCCAGAGTAACTTGTTGCTGTCCTGTTTCAAGGAAGCTCATTGCCATCCCGCCTCAGAAAACCCAATTTTGTTCTATCTGAGGAAGCCCATTGCTGTCTCACCCCAGGAAACCCATTGCTGTCCTGTCCAGGGTGGATTTGATTTAAATCAAACTGATTTAAATCACGATTTAAATCACTAGTCAGTAAGGCTTGATTTAAATCATAGTTTTCTACATAGACTAATTCTTGCTGGTATAACTTTAATATGCAAGTAGATGAAGATTTTTAGAATAACTTTTCATATTAGTTTTTTTATCCCCAGTTTAATAGGTTAATCATTCATATTTGGACAACTTTTCTGTTGTACTTAGGAAGGAGAAAAATAATCATTACCTTAATAATAACAATTTAAATAGATTTATTCAACTGAAACAATAACATTCCAGCATATGTTATTTGCTTAAACATCCATGTTTGTTAACTAATTTGGCTAAACAAAATATATATATTTTAAGAAACTTAGACTGTCAGCCCCTTCCTCCTCACACTTAGGCTGGCCATACATTATACAATTATCTGCAGATTTTCTGCCCAATTTCCTTTAGATTTACCTTCAACTATGTAGTGCAAGGGCCTGCCTAATTGGATACACTGAAAGTGTTGTTTAGGTTTGTCCTCCTATTATATGGTTTTTGGTAAATCTAAACCAAAAATCTGCAGATAATTGTATAATGTATGGCCAGCCTTAGTTTCACTTTCTTCTTGTGCAGATCTATTCCACTCCAAACAATCAGAAAAATATTGTTTCTATTCTATTCACTGAACTTCTTGAAACTTAGCACTGAAGGGGTTGATTCTGTATTCATAGGTTTGTAGAAGTTAGGATTAAGGTCTTTTTCTTAACTCTGTTCATGTTATAACATTTTTGCTGTGAAGAAGAGGCATGTGATCTCTGCTGAGTCAAATTCAGTTTTGAGAACTGCAAAAGTAAACCAAACATCTGTGATAATATCTTGTAGGCAGAGAAACTGCCCAATAATCTTACAAAAACCTCTGGAAGAGCATGACATTGTGAATGGATTCATGGAATTTATTTACCAAAACAATTAAACATATACAGCCTTATTCTAAATAATTAAAAAAACTAATCTTTATTTCATGATGGAATAACCTTTGAATGGTAATATATTTTCCTCAAAAAGCATTTTAAAAAAAAAAATCCGATTTTAAATAAAAAAAATCTGATTTTTTTTTTTTTTTAAATCATTGATTTTTATCCACCCTGGTCCTGTCTCTGAAAGCTCATTGCTGTCCCACCCATGGAAACCCATTGCTGTTCTGTCGGAGAAAGCCCTTTGCTGTCTTGCCTCAAAAAATTTAATTGCTGCCCTGTCTGAGGAAGCCCACTGCTGCCCTGTCTGAGG